TACTTGGTAAAACCACGACAAGTTAGGAGAATCTCATGACTTATGCGAAAGTTATGTTGGACATAGATTCTCTGAAGTGGGTAGATGCCATGAAAACCGAGATGGACTCGATGGAGGAGGGCTCACCGTCTAGGGTGAAAGCAATTGATTGCAAGTGGATTTACAAGAGGAAGAAAGACCCAGATGGTAATATTGAGACTTATAAAGCTCATCTTGTGGCAAAATGATACACTTAGAAAGAGGGAATCGACTATGAGGAGATCTTTTCGCTAGTGGCTATGCTAGTCTTTTAGGATCTTGCTCCCTGTAACAACATACTATAACTACGAGATTTGGCAAATAGATGTCAAAACCGCGTTTCTAAATGGAGATCTTACTGAAGATATTTATATGCAGTAGTCATAGGGATTTATTGCTACAAGTTAGGAACACATGATATGCAAACTTAACTGATCCATATATGGACTGATGTAGGCGTCTAAGAGTTGGAACATCCGATTTGACTCTATTGTCAAATAATTTGACTTTGAGCAAAATCCGGATGAGCTTTGTGTTTACAGAAAAACTAGTGGGGATAAGGTTATGTTTTTGGTTCTATATGTAGATGACATTCTACTCATTAGGAATGATGTATGAATGTTAACTACGGTGAAAGTGTGGTTTTCACAACAGTTCTCCATGAAAGATATTGGAGAAACCATCTATATCTTGGGACTTCGACTCTATAGAGATAGATCGAAAAGGATAATAGGATTATCCCAATCTATTGACATTGACAAAATTGTCAAGAGATACAGTATGGAGAACTCTAAGAAAGAAAATGTTCATTTCAGGCATTTATTCATTCTCTCCTAGGGTATGTCTCCCAAGACTCCCGAAGAGATTGAAGGCATGAAGGATATTCCCTATGCCTCAGCTGTAGGGAGCATCATGTATGCCATACTGTGCACTCGTCCTGACATTGCTTAGGCAGTGAGTGTGGTAAGTAAATACCAGTCTAACCCAGGACAGGAACATGGGACAACTGTGAAAAACATACTGAAATACATTCGAAGGACAAAAGAATTTTGTCTGGTAAACGATGGTAGTTCACTACAGATCCAATGGTATACTGATGCCGATTTCCAATCAGATTCAGATGATAGAAAGTCTACATCTTGGTACATCTTTACGATGGGGGCCTGTGTAGTTAGCTGAAAAAGTAGCAAACAAGATTCCACCACAGATTCTACAACTAAAGCCGAATACATTGCTGCAAGTGAACCTATTAAAGAAGCTGTCCGGATGAAAAAGTTCATTAAGGAATTAGGAGTAGTTTTTTCCAACACATCACCCATTCCACTATTGTGTGACAACAATGGAGCTATAGCTCAGGCTAAGGAGCCGCGAGCCTGCTCGAAGTCGAAGTACATCGAGAGGAAGTACTATGTATTGCAGGAGATAGTTGGTAAAGGGGACGTCCTGATTCAAAAAGTAACGTTGGCGGAGAATGTAGTAGACTCATTGACTAAGCCACTTACACATGAAGTGTTTAAGAAAATGTGGAAAGTATGGGACTCCGGCTTATACTCGATTGGACCTAAGGGCAAGTGAGAGCTATTAGATAGTTATGCACTTCTAATCAGATTGATGTATCTTTTGACATTTATTGTAAATGAATAAAGTACATAATTGATTCGTGTCATTGTGGTGTATTTCTGTATAATACCATTAAACTATACACTTATGAGACTCGTGCTAGTTTAGAATCTTCACAGTTGTTGGATAGATCTATGGAGATTTATTCTGCCAAGGCTAGCACTGATGTGCCACCAAGTTGGTTGGGGTGGCTTGTCTCAGCTACCAGGGTGAGACCTGAAATACTTGTAGTGTGGGTTTTCTTGAAACCTTGAATCGGACCAAAATTCCAGAATTACCCTAGACCTTGGAGATAGATGGGCAAAACTGGAATGTTACACCTGACCCMTARACTCRATTATGRTAYTGCACTAGRTGTYGGATTGGGCTGTCTTTGATATGCCAATCAGTGAGATCCTTAAAGGGGGTCAAAACCTGGGTATGTTAAGACAGTCCAAAAATTCATTTGAGTGGGTGATCATAGTGACATGATCAACCCCTTTGTCAGATAGAGTGAATGATCGGGTAATGCACTCTTTGATGGAATCTTAAACTGCCAACAGTTGATTTCAAATGTTGAAATTTGTTTTGCATATACGTATATATATATATATATATATTCAAAATGTTTACAAAATCTTTTAATTCTCGGGATCCATGTGAGTAGAGAGTACAACACTGTTCCTTGCAAATGAGGGAGAGACCCTCTCTTGTCAGACAGTGTTTGATCATTATGGCTTGAGAAGTTAAGTGTAAGACCATTGTGGGTAATACTTGATGGTCTAATCTTATATCTGCCCACAGTCCTTGGGTTTTCATAAGGTGGCTGGACCCAATGATCATTTAGCGTAAATGTTGAGCCCATTAAGAGCCCATGGTGATGGACTCAGGGGTTCACTGTCTCCTACAATGAATTCGGTCAGGCCTTGTAACAAAGACTGGACTGAATCCATGTGATTGATGTATAGATAATGTTTGGGTCCCATGCCATACAAAGAGAGCCAACTAGACAGCAGGCTAAAAGGTAAGTGGGCGCATAAGCTTAATAGGCCTAAATCCCAATTCGAGCTGGGATTAAATTAGTTAATTAAAAGGAGGCAAGATCTAATTTATAATCTGATTATGATTAACTGAAAGGATAAGATAAGTCTTATCCATTTAAGAGTCTAGATTCAAATATCAGATTTGGATCAAGAAACTCTTTCCTAATTAGATTGGAAGACTGATTCAAAAATGACTATAAATAGGGGGCGAATTCCTCAGTTTTAACACACAACAACCTATAAAATTCTCTCATATTCTTGCCATCCCTACCCAATTTGATATTTTCTTGTGGAATTGATTAAGAAAGGTTCTTGATATTGTTTCTTGGTTGAAGAAACGATTTGAAGATGTGCTTACCAGTCCTATTCGATTCTTGCTGAAGAGCTATCCTGCTGATCCTGTTTCATCATACACTATGTCATCTTCAGTGGAAGCGGGTTTTGGTCTTTTCTTTGGGCGTAAACATCTTCATTGGGAGTTACTGCTACTTTGTATCAGGTATATCATTCTCCTTCCTTTTGGTTTCAGATCTAATCCGGTTTTGGATTGAAGATTGATCATTGAAAATGCGGTTTTCTAAAATAGGGAATGCAATTCCCAGATGGAAGAGAGAAATTTTTGAAATTTTGCCCATCCTTCTTATAGGGTTCGGCCATCCATATGATGGATCTCTCATCCCTTCAAACTTTACTTGGGAGCAATTCATCTTGAATCTCTTTCCACTTAAGGTTACATTTCATTGTGATGAAGAAATTAGGTTTTCTAAACTACCTAACTAATTCAATTGAATCATGATATTTATGCCGCATGTCTCGTGGTCCTCCAATAAATGATGCAATCAATACTATTCTTCTTCCAATTTTACTACCATTTGTCTCACCAAACAATACACAATCTACTATTCCTTGGTACAATTGTGCATGAATTTTTTATTGACTTTGATGATAGTAGTCAAACCTTGTACTTTCAAGCTTAATATACATATCAACAACAAATTGATGCAGAAGCCTCTTAGCTAACCAGATTATTGAGCGATCATTTATTCTAATTTGTTAGAGATTACTATAAAATTGTCGACATGACACAGTTGTCCCTTTATCTCCTATGATAATATCTGTGCATAAAAATTGTACATAATGCCATTAGGATTTTTTTGTGGGAATTTATTGTAAATGTTGTTTCATTTCAATAGAAATAGTTTGTTACCTTCTTCCTGATTGAAAATATCTTTGATGGATGTAAAATTCCATACTGTGGAATTTTGTAATGGATGCCCCCCAAATCTTGTAATGGAATCTTTTTTAGGGATATTTGGGTGCCATCCAACTTCTCCCTTTGGGAATAATAGGGGATATTGTAGGGGATCATAACATCCATAGTAATGCTTCACTCTATGCCTACTTCCTGAACATGCATGAACAACAATGTCTCTTTCTTCTTGACCGCTTCCATTGCTTCCCTCAATCCATATTGCTGCAACTTTATCTGTTGATGGTGCATTATAAACCCTTTGATCTATCTTGACATCGCTTTTGATGCAAATATGATACTCTTCTAAAGAGTTAAGATCTTTGAGATTTCGAAAGAATTGGGAATATGTATTAATAGAAAGAAACTTGATGAGGTTCTCCATAGTTCCTCGATTTAATTTCTTGTCACCCACCTTACTCATTCTATTTTGGACTTCATTTTCTGTGTCATAGAAGTACAATTGCGAGAAGCATGGTCCATTATCTGAAGGTGTAAGTGATGGTAGATCATAGTATATTTGACCTTGAGTTTGAAATGTAAAAGCACCTTTATTGGAAGTGGCCAATTCTTTATCAAGCTTTACACCAAATGATGTAAAGGAAAATATACTATTGTAAGCTCTGATATTTGACTGGAATTCAACAACATCATCATAACCTGAGGTGTATAACTTATATAATTCATCTGACACTAGATTGGATTCTAGAATAACTTGTCCATTGTAGCAGCAAAAAGTGGGAGGCTCATATTGGAATCCTTTGGCACCACAAAACTGACATGAAGGGACTTTCTTCAATTCAGGTATGGAAGATGTAGTTGAGAGATGATTAATTACACCTACATATTAGTTATTAAACATGAACATGCTTGTTGTATGTGTAAAAGTTTTAATGGAATATAAGATCATGAATATAGAGAAATCAAGCTTTATACACTTCAAGAAGAGGAACCCAATGGGAGCAAGTTAGAAGCAAACAAAAATGGGACTTGGTGTTTATTCTTTAAACAAATATGAACCACAATTTTTTGGGGCATCAATGTTAGGCTACCAATTTTTTTTTTCTTTTTTCGGGTGGG